ATAGCTTTGTGCCATTGGATCTCACCGCAAGCCGTTCATTGTTTATTTTGCTAGCTGGTGGGTGCTTGCTTTGCCCCTCAACCCCCCCCCCCACGAAAAAGTAGTTTGCCCCCCTAGAAAGAAATCTGTCGACACCAAAGCCTCTGCGTGTGTGCTCGAAGGCACTGCCATTGAATTTGCCAAGCATCAGTTTCGTCCAGAGAGGAAGCCTTGGAAAGGCGCTCAACAATACCTCGCAGGTGTTACACGTGAAGAGTGAACCTGCACATCGCACACGAGATCATCACGTCAGCCGTGCACACTTGTAGTCCTCGTTCGAACAGCCAGCGAACGAGAGACGCCTTTTGAACGGAATTATTGCAGTTCCAAATGCCATTAATTGGTGGTCTGCTGTGGAGCAATATATTTCCGCGAATATTATGTAAACGCCTCATTTAGTTTTGCAACATCTCCTACTATGATGCTTTCGAGAGGTTAAGCCAATCAACTGAACTAGATAGTTCACCATTTATAAATCGGACGCAGTCAACCATTTTAAATGATTGAAAAGAAATCCTGCAGTCTCATCCGTATTTCACAATGAATCTTTGTCGACAGTTTGTTTGCTTTGCCATATTTGCCCAATGCTTTCTTGGTATCGCCCATACCACTTGCTCGAATCCATGCCCGTTCAACTGGCTTGCTTCAGGCGGGTACTGCTACCGGCTAGTCACCTGGAATTTGAACTGGAGCGAGGCAGAGAGCTACTGCCAGCAGCTCGCCGGTTCGCGCCTGGGGGAGTCCCATCTCGCCTCCATCCACAGCGCAGAAGAGAATCGCTTCGTCGTTTCGCTGATTCAAGCTTCACAGCAGGTGACGCCGGCTGTAGCGTTCTGGCTGGGCTACAACGACAGAGTCAAGGAGGGTGTGTTCGAGTGGAGTGACGGCTCAAACCCCGTGTATGCAAACTGGAGCAGTGGACAGCCCGATAACCGAGGTAGCAATGACGCTAATTGTGCTGTACTTGCCAAGTACTACCAGTGGAGATGGGATGACAGAGGTTGTTCTGCGCCATGTTTCTTCGTTTGTAAAGGAATGAAAATCTAACTCCCCCCGAAACAATTTCCTGTCTTATTGCTTTATATTTGAATTAAATATGACACTTGTAACCGCATTGAATTGCAAGCAGGTCGAATTACGAGCTTTTTGTGTTTTTATTTAAAATTTAAAGTTAAATCTAAAACCAGATCAGTTAATTAAAAGAGCTACTGATCCGATAGGTTGACCCAATATACTGGTTGTTTTTAACAAATGTGTTGCTTTTCTATCCACTGGTTACCATTCAGTCCAAATTTTGCTGTTGGTTTCCTACTTCGAATGCCGTTGACAGCTCAAAAACTAATTAATTTGGTTGTTCTCAACCATTCATGTTCCTTTATCATTCTTTTACAGTGTGTAATGGGTCAAGTGTGAAGATGTGATTACTATAAAATTGCCTTTAGAATACACATGCAGAAAACCGCCATTTGTGTTCTCAGTGCTTTTCTTTTTAGGGTTTATGATCACATATGTATATGGGTTGATAGTTTCATAGGTGGTCTTTGAAAAAAAGTTAATGAACACTTGAATTCTTCGTAGACTTTTAACCTTTCAAGTCATGTACACTGTTAGAAATTTTTCTGTACATTTACATACATTTACTTTGCATGGTAAACGATGCTTGTTGGTTCTTTACGTAATGCTTAACACTATGAACATCTAACCAAAAAAGCATGGTGAAATAAAGATGGACGTTCATTGTTAATGCACTGTGTTTCTTTTGCTAGATGTTCGTAGTGTCACTGGGCGTATCGAATTTGATTGGTGTTTCAGGAAAAACTATACTTAATAAAGTTCACTTTTTCCTTTGCTCTCTATATACACTGTTATCATACAAACTGACATTTACACGCGTAAGTCATTTTGCCTATTCCAACCAATCTGCACTTTTAAATATTACAGTGCCAATACAACAAAGACCTCCTGTTTCAAACACAGATTTCTTTTTAAATTGTGTCTATGTGAAATTATTAAATATTGAAATCGGAATGCCCCAAACGGCGAAGGATAAAATAGGAACTTCAAACTTGAGTTTAGTGAAAAATGCCTTGTTTGTAAAACTTCAGTTTGGAAGCTTTACAGGACATTTTCGATCATCAGTATCTTTACACGTTTCTAAAAAGTGTCAGAAACGAAGCCAAACATCTCATTTTTGGCCTTTTCAATGTTCTGCCTGATCCTGGTTTGTTTTGACATCAAGTGTCACATATTACCAACTCTATTTTGATTTGACCCCTGGCTGTGCCTATTAAAAAGCGTCCAACTCAAGTTCTTGCTTAAACGGGCACTTGGTGCAAGAAAAGGAAGATGAAGTGACGTCTGTGTGGGGTATCATAGCGTGCCAGCAATAATATTTTTATCATCGTCGAGGTCACTGAGGTAATTTAAAGAGCGAACGGTTTTCTCTTTTTTTTTTCTTTTTTTTTTTGCTTCAGGTCGACACGTTGAAACTTCAAGGAAACCAATCGTGATGTGTACGCTCAACCAATCCTGACAGACAACTAATTGCAACCTTCCCTGTGAAATTGATTGCAGCGCCTGGTGTACTGTCTGATAGATTCAGCAATTAAGGCAGCCTTGAAAAACGTACACAGTCTGTCAGTATAGCCAGATCTCCATTATGCAGAAAACGGAACAGCAGTATGCCTACTAAGCCACTTTGGTGACATCAAAATTACGCCCATACGTTCATATAAGGCATGGCTGGTTGACACGAGTTGCTTTCATGTACTTGGGTAAACGATAGCGGTTCGAAAAGGTTCATGGCCGATGAATGACAGTACAAAACGGCACCATTAATGGAAATCATCTGATCGATATCCGCAATGGAGTCTGCTCTTTTGACACCACAGTCTTGATTTTCCTAGAAGTGCATGCTAAAACTAAAGTTGGCGGTCAGTATGAAAGTAACAGAATAATTCAGAAAGTGTTAAAATCCCACGCAGCCATCAGAACTCAAGATTTTAATACATGTAATACTAAATATTAAATAAAAATACAAATAAATCAATGGGACGGTTGTCCATCTTTAACGAATTGGAAATAAAATCGAAAAACCAACCAAAAGGTGATATTTCTGCAAACTTTGGCAACTCGTACAAGCTGAAGGAAAAATGAGATTGGTCTATACTATAAGCCGATGGGACCATGTAACAAAATAATTTGACTACGCTCCTTGAAATCGTACTTTTGTATCAAACCTTAAAAGGTTGAATTTATTTTCCTTTTCAAATCTGCACTTTGGATTTTGTTGTTATTTTTATGCTAATACACATTTGCATTTTCATGAGCAAAGATGTGATGTCATTCAAGGCACTCAGCGCCGCATCGACTTGTGTACAAAAACTCAGTGCTGAAGTTTTTTAATATTTTGCCACAGGAAATTTCCGTTTCTTCGGCAAAACTATTGCAAACGTAAACGTAAAGGTCTGCTTGCACTCCTAAGTTTCGCAGAATAGCTTTCAAAGAGCAAATTTGGAGTTCAAAACTTGAACATGAAAACACGCACACTGAACAGCGCCCTCAATTTTTAATGTCAAACAGTAATCTTTTCAGTACACTTAACTCAAAAAGGTTTTTTAAAAGTTTGTTTTCATTGAAGAAGAACGTAAAGATGGGCAAATTCATTGCATGGATGGTTTGAAAGAGACAATGAGAGCGCATGCATTTCAAAGAAAAAGATTTCTATCACATTATCCTTAATTGGTGAGAAAATAAGAGAGATTTCTCTGAGTAAAATGTCTTGCTGTTTATTTTTGGAAACAAAGTGTCTACAGTTTGCATTTTCATAGTTGAGATTTACACCCATCACTTTTCCAGTATGTCGTATGATTTGAAATGACAATTATGCTACTTTTCTTTTCAGTTCTCAGTGAGAATGATGCTTTCTGTTTTAATCATTCTGTCATCCCTACAGCTCGTCTTTAGTAAAGGGGCGAATCGCTTTTTTTCAAATCCGCTCATGATCGTTCTGGTGTTCAGTGGATATAAAACTCGCAGGCAAATTTGGCTATCTTACTTTGTGTAATTACAGTAGTAATACTGAATCCAGTAGCGCAGTGAGTCTTAGCTGCGCGACGATACGGAGTTTTAAAAAAATGAAGGTTAAAAATTGAGCTGGGTGCTTTTCTTTTTTGAACCTTTATAAATGTTTGGTCCTGATCAGTATTTCCGAGGTCTCCACATGTAAGCAAGCTGCGGGTTGGTAAACGCCGGGATTGACGTATACAAGATGCTGCTCAGCTGAAAAGCAATGCCCCAACTGGGGCGAAATGTCCAGGGGCATCCGGGGGGAGGGCACCCGGGGGCACATGTTATTTTTTTTTTCAAGGAGGCACCACAAGAAATATGCTGCAGCTGCATATGTACATGAAGTCAACGGAGATTATTCACAGATTTCCAATGGGGAAGGGGCATCCGGGGGCACGGGCATCCGCGCCGCTGTGGGGGACATGAGTACCCCATGCAATCCCCCCTACAGTTATGCCACTGCTCAAAGAGAGATCTTCGAGAAAGCCGCTTGTCGTGCACTGGCAAATTGAAGAATTGATCCTTATTAACTTATTGGTTCAGCCTGAAATCTCTTCATTACGAAGCAAGCGATAAAGCTATGCTCGTGCGTGTATTTCAAATACAATATTAAATACTGTACCCTTGTTTTTAAAACAACTGAAGTAATGTTAAGATTTGGAAGTGAATGAAGTCCTATGCACGATGTAAGGCGAGTTGTGCATGTGGTGGCATAATTCCTGTTGATGGCAAAGTTTACTTTTAAGAACCAAAGTCCATCGGCTGGGAATCATCTGAGTCGGTTGAAATGTAAACAAGGCACCAATTACGAAACCCTTATCGCGCATGGCTCGTGACTGAAGTCAACAATCCGCCCCTCTCGGCATCCATCACAACAGAGTCGCAGACTTGGAAATGGAGATGGCGTCGGCCGCAAGCAGAACGATACTGCTCCTAGTGGGCGTAATCTTTGGTCTGATGCCTCACCCCACAGTGGGGCATCTCTGCATAATATCCCCTCACCAGCGCGGTCCACTTGATGTCTCGCACGTAAGTGAAGACCTTACACAGAGGTGTCGAATAACATTAGCAAGTCAGTCATATTGCCCCCAAATAGGCTTAGCGTTACTATGTTGAGAGAGATGGTGCAGAAATATTACTGTGCGCCTGTGAAACGTGAGAAAGCTTGACAGCCACTCGCTCGAACAACCTAAAATAAAATTCACACGATTTTAGAGTAACTTTGTAGCCAGCATCTTTTAATTGAGTTCAATCGAGAAAATGACACGCTGTGTGCGAATACCCTCTCTAAGCAATTTTAGTTTAACAAGTGGAGTTTTGCTTAATGCCCCACTGCAATGAGAAATTCCACTGTTCCAACTGCGCATGTCCTAAATGAAGCCCGTCTGAGGTCATTTGGACGCGCGTGCGAGGTCTCCCTAATCATTCCTAATCCTATTAGTATTTTGTGATCCCACGGGGTTATATACAATAAGAGGTGCCATAATGGGCGCCACCAATCATAGACGTATTGCTATGAATCACAAACGGCCATAGAGCAGGGCGGCTACATCCAAAACTGAGCACATGGTCTGAGAACTATTTGTACGAGAGAGGTTTTTCGGACGAATGAAGATTTTTCTGCGGCTAAGCCTTATGAAATTTTAAAGTAAACTGATTTTGTGGACGTACAGAAATCTTGAATTTCGTGAGGGTCACGAGGTGGCGCCGTCTCTTTGCGATTTTAGATTTCTTTCCATTGGCCCGTATCAGGTATTGTGCAACCCTCATGGCAACAACAGTTACAATGACACGCGAGTCAACGGCCACCTTTGTTTTCAGCATGGTAAGATGGCCTCTGGTGGCTTCAGTCGATACAAAATCACTGCGTGTCCAAACTTTTTAATATTACGTGATTTTTTTCAGTCTGGAAGTCACACGTGCTTCCGCCATGGCGCCCCCTGTGGTGGCATCTCGCCACAACAACCACTCACCACGTACATCGGAGGCTCCACTATCTTCGTTACCTTCCAGCAAAACTATAACCACTACGAAGTGGGATACCCCGGTAAGGGAATACAGGAGAATGGCTGGTCAGAATTTGCCTTCTACGTTCTGTCTTGATCATGAGTACAGTGTTTGCGTTAATAAGGAAGAAACAAGTCTAAAAATTGTGTTTAGCAATCGAAAACGATCTTGCCACTATTTGTAAATACATTTAATTACTACACATTTGGCGCCCACTTTCTTAGCAACATTATTGATGTTAAATCTGACGGGCCCAACACTCCCCCTCCGGAATGATTCCCAGATCGTTTTAAAGGGTAGCTCCAATCAAGTTATTTTGAAGCAAACCTTCAAAATGCACCTTTATATCTCACTTAACCTCATTTTCAATTTTTTTCCCATGGGATTTTATTGTCTTTTTGGTTCCATGCTAATTAATTTACATATTCACGAGAAAATAGTGATGTCATCTGAGAAAGAAAGCCTCAATGTTGCATTAAATTGTACACAAAAATCTGGCATTTTCGTAGATTTTGCTGGACTAAATTTTCCCTTTTTCACTAATTTATTGTTGATTAAGTGCAAATCAATAAGCAAATATCAATCCCTTTCTCAGAAATGTTTTCAGGACGTAAATTCTGGGTTAACAGTTTTAACACAAAAACCTATGCACTGAACTATGCCTTCCCTGAATGGCATCACATCAACAGCGCCCCCAGTTGTTTAGGAAAACATGGGTAATTTCAAGTGTTTAAAAAGTTTACTTTTCAACGAGTGTAACCAAACAGGAGTGAAAAGGAGTTTCCATACTTTCTTACATTGAAGAAGAGTACAAACATAATTGAAGCGTGTCGAAGAAAGATTCATTGCAGCTACACTTTAAACAGAAATTAGTGCGTAAAATATCATTGTTAGAAAATATTGCCCCAACTTACAAACTTTGCGTACACGTTTGCCTCGGTAGTTGATGTTGTAACTGCAAATACACAATCAGTTACTCAATATGCTATACAAAGCTAGAACTTACAAACGCACATTTTGTTGGTGACTTTGAAACGCTTGGCGGTAGCAGGAAAGCCAGACATTTTACCAGTTTTAGGCTTGCGCGCGTGGCTCTGAGCACGCGCACAATTGTGGAAAAGGACCCGTTTCCCTGGCGACACTAAGCGTCTGAAAGTCTCCCATTTTAGAGCATACAGAGGACTCCGGGGTGCAGCCTAAGACAGTATGTGAATCTTTGGTCTTCCAGGTTATATGGACATAGCACTTGCCACCAGCAGTTCACCCGATGCGCACTTTGAAATTGTCGGTGTCTTTGGCGACGTCAATGAGCATGCACAGGACCATCAGCAGAACTACTCATTACCCGTTGTGAGTGATTAAGATTGAACAGACAAGGGACATTCACGAGGCAGTCAATATAGATCGTGTTCCCCGAAGCCATTCATTGAATACTCTATATCACATTTCGCCGACTGTGAAGAATGCGGTTTCTTTTCATGTTGACAATAAGGATGACATTTTTTTCGTCCATAATTTGGAACCCGAGAACATAGACAGTAATTTGGAATGTGCCTCTGTTGAAGCACATTTGTTCCAAAACATCTTGTGTTTTGAAGAATGTTTTACAGGTATTACCTAGCTTTCGATTCAAAATGGCCGACATGTGAATAATGTCAATGCAGGACGCCGAGCGAGGTCTACCCTTTTGCATGGCCGCACATCGACCTGCACGTGCATGATCGGTACAAATTTGAAAAAGTACTTATGAAAATGAAGGCCTGTTTTCCTAAATTTGCATGAAAACCTAGGAATGTTTTACCGATATCGGCGATATGAATACATAATTTTACGAGAGGTATACCGATCTTGAAAAAATGTGTCACAACATACGCCTTATTACTGAAAACCTCCGTTGGCTCAGCTTGTCATTACGTTTGTTAATACATATTGGAAGAATATAAGATCGTTTCTGGCGTTTAAATTTGGCTGTCCTGACGGTTTTTCAGCTTTGACCTTGCTTTCCAGACTCATCATTTATTCTCTATCACAATTATGACAGGGTAAGAATCAAAACGACTTTCAAATATTAACTCGTTTCAAAAATGTGTTCAGCCTTTTTATCAAGGCTGGTTTTATAACTGTTCAAAGATCACTTAATTTATTCGTTATTTGTAAATACCCTCAGACAATTGATACTGCCCGCTGAGAGGTATAATGCCGGTTGCGTAAATCACGCGCTGGCACCTGTACACGAGACACTTTAATCAATTCTGATTGGTCAAAAGTCTGTGTGCACGCGGCTAGACGTGCGCGCGCTAAGTCCATATAATGAGATTTTTTGGCCAACTCACACAAGGAATATACCATAAAATGGACGGGGTTGTTCGAGGAAATAAAAGTAAAGTTCTAAAACAAAGTCGTTGGAAATCCATCACATATTGACTCTTTTGACTCTCCGACTGAACAAGTTATTTATGAATGGGAATAAATTATCTGCTTGGCCACTCAGGAGACTGAACGCTGATAATGCTCTCACCTACGGCTGCGCATATCTATTCCGTTATTAATAATAAAATGACTTCTACTAAATTAAATTTTATTTATCCGTTTTATTTTTTCAAACACCGATATCTGCGTCACACTTTTTTAATGAAAATTGAAGTATAACATTTAATGCATACATGTACAAGTAAAGATTCGCAAAGCGATATTACCCAACATGTATACGTAGTTACTAAAAATGAATCGTGTAATCTTGAATTTGATTTCTTGCTCTTAGGATCTTCCTGATATTGACTGCTCCAACTGTGTGTTGCGGGGCCGGTATGTGGCTCACAAGCCTGGTGAGAGGACTTTCTACCAGTGCTCAGACATAATCATCAAATCCTCTCGGGCGGTGAAGGCCACTGAACTCCAACGGAACCAGGTCTACCGACCACAGGGCCATACAGAGCCCATCCGTCCACCGTCGGTCCCCGCTGCCAAAATTCCTCGATTTCTGCGAGCGGGACCGTACGCGCCCCTGCTGTACGGTTTTGCCTGGGACCCGGAGAAGTCCGGGAGTGTTTTCGTGACGGTAAACACCGTCACCGGTGAAAAACAGAAGATTTCACCCATGTACTTTGGTCTGGGCTCGGGCATCCAGTATGGAACCCCATCGCCAATGTGAGTCTTTTCCCATAATGTTAACTTTGATGGGAACTCTTCAATGTTGCTTACATATTTATACAAAATGCGCGTTTTTGCCAACTAAAATACCCGGGGTATTATTTGAAGATTGAGGGCGCCATTGTTTTAATATCACTTCAATAGGCACACACTTCCAACTTCAGAGAGCCTTTTAAAGTTCTGCTCGAATTATTCACCGAATGGAGGGAAGCCAAAGGATCCAAAAACCAAACGAAATAAAAACAAAATCCTACTGCGCATTCACCGAGTAAAAACAAATAATTGTTGCAAGCCCAGGCTGACACATCAGCGGTAACACCAAACCTCCAAAAAGACGAAACATGTATTTGGATCACGAACAACGCGAGGAGAGGCATTGGTTTAACACCAAATAATAACTAACACAGTTTTTATATAGCGCATCACACAAAGGTGTCGATGCGCTTTACAAGAAACAACAATTAAGAACAATTAATGGAACAAGTAAGATTTGAGAACTGTTTTGAATTCATTTTCGCTATTGATAATTTGAATATGGTGAGGAAGAGAGTTCCAAAGCGATGGTGATGCAAGCATGAAGGAACGATGTCCTTAAGTCTTAGTGCGAAGGATCGGTGTATCGAACAGCAATGTTGAGCTAGAAGCATGCCCTTAGAATTTGCAAGGACCCTCGAACTGGACCAAGAGCGGGTACAACTTTCCTAGCAACTGAGGCTCGTTCGGTTGGAAGTGCACTTCAGTGGTTTGACGACAAATGCACGCGTTAAGGCCGGTTCATACTTGAGGCCAATGCGGAAGCCAAGCGACTTTGACGTCACGACAACTTTGCGGCAAAATTTCGCTCAAGTTGAAATGTGTTAAACTTCTGCGAATTTGCAACACGGATATTTGATCCGCCGTCACAATTTGCGCTTGTTATTGGTTTTGTGCGAAGTATGAACTGGCCTTTGCGGTTGTCGTCGCCACCAACAAAAGGAATGGTCCCCGCAAACCTGGCTTTTTTCTATTGCTGAGGGGGTGCTCCTCCCCTCAGTGGATACGGAACTAGAAATTGAGACCTGTGGCATGCACTTTTCCATCCGTTACCCATAGTTGATTACAAGTACAGAAACTAGACCTTAGTGCGGCAGTAGATG